GCTGCTCCAGCAGTGCACCGCACGCAGCATACGCTATACACTGACCCACTGTGCTGCATGCAGGGCGTGTGGTGCTAGGTACAATCCATGTACCACATGCAGCAGACAAGGCCAGAACTGGCATGTGGGGTCAGTCCAGCAACTTACAGACTGGATCATATGGCTCCATGGGCCACATCCCCAAGATGCCCAAGCCCCACTTGCCCCCAAGATGCATGTTATTTCTGGTTACTGACATTTGCAAACTGTGATCACTCTGCTTCCATGCTACATTCCTTTTTGGCCTTTTCTATGTGACTTTAACAACCAGACTTTGCAGGGAATCATCCCTGCCAAGGAGTATTAACAGAATGCCTTTTTAGAGAAACTATGATTGATTGTTTAACAAACAACCATTTGCTGAAGTAAATTCTCTCAAAGCACACAAATGCACATATGTCTAGACATGCATTAACAATCTGGACTGGCCGATACACATTGATGTACTAAGCCTTTATTTTAGTCACAGTTTTTACTTACCTCCTCTTACCACAGCTACAAGTTTTAAACTGTAGTCCATTAACGATAAAAACCTTATGTACAGAGACATCTCAAGTATTAACCAAGGGAACATTTTTAATGCATTCTGGTGCAACATACACAGCTTTCCTTTAAGGCAAATTCCTCCGGTTGATTGAAATAGCAGCTACAGACTAATATAACACTCAAGATTACAAAACCACAGCATCTGTGCTGATCCAGAGTATGCTGGAACTGCACGCATTAACAACATGACAGTTTTATGTAACTGAAGTGAAAAGACTTTCAGATGATACATGAAAAATCAGTATTACTATATTATACTCTGTACTTGATTAGGAAGATTAAAATGGAATTGCATAACATGTTTACTTCTTTATAGAGGTGCATCAATACATCAGTCCCATATCAGATCAGGACTGATATAAGGAAAATTGACAGTATCAGCAATCAGGGGTTTTTGGCTGATGTGGCTGCTAGTGTTACCAATAAATGCCTGTGCATGCACACAGCCACAGCGCAACACACAGGTGGCCAGGAGTGCAGCCTGAGAGCACGGAGAATAGCTGGGTCCAAATGGTTAGTCTGTTGTGAGAGAAGGGGCACTGGAGGGTGGGGGGGGGCGCAGATTGAGGCCCCAGCAGTGAGGGAGGGAGTGGGGTTGGGGCAGGAGCTGCACAGCCAGGGTGGAGCATGGGAAGGAGCCATGAGTACCTTGTCTGGGGGCTGCAGGGAGGGGGTGGTGGCTCCCGCCACTACACACCTCAGGGGAGGCATAAGGGCCATATGTCCCCAGATCTGTGCATGGGGTGAAGGTGGGCTGCTGCTGTGGGCTGGGGTTGGGCCACTTGGGATGGCTATGCAAATAGTAAACCAAGGGAGAGGCAGTGTGTATGTGAGCTGAGGCAGATCCACAAAAAAACTGTAGTTCTCATTTCAAAGTGGGAAGCCTTTGGCACAGCAGACAACTGGACAGAGTCTAGTCAAAGATTGATATTCCTCACTCCATAAGAGAATAAGTCACAGACCATCTCTCTCTCTCTCAAATAATTGATAGCTAGGGATATTGGGTTAGCAATGTATACATCTGAAAGGATGTACATATTTTTAGATCTAATTATAATTTAGAAACATCTGGGCTGACAACTAGGTGCATATTGGGGGAGGGGGAGGAAGTTATTTGCACAATATACACATGCTCCCTGAGAACTGAATTGAAAACTGTAGATGACTAGGTAAGGTCATGTATTTTGGGGGGTAGGTAATTGAGAGAAATTAGTTGTTTAAGGCTCTATAGGCTTTGGGTGATTTTTAGTTCCTCAGCTGGTGGAAGCTGGGGGGTGCAAGCTGAGAATTGACTCAAAATTCTCTTAACAGAGGAAGTTGCTGGAAACAGATCTCTGGTCAGAGCTAGAAGCAGCATTTTAGTGGGAGTACAAGGTGAGATCATAAATTAGTCTTTTATGGTTATTTATTCATGTTGTTGTTTCAATGTATGGTTACTATTTATGTGATTTATCTTGCTTTATGTGTAGTGTATCTTTTTGCTGTGTCTAATCCCTTATGGATTGCCTGTGGTAAGTGTGATTTCAGAACAAGTAACAAGTACAGGCTAGTGTCTTCTCCAGAGGAGGAGACCCATAACAAACTGGTTTGGGTGCTATCCTCAAGTTAGCAAGATCTCCTCTGCTACAGCTGGTAAGGCTGGGACTGAGACAGGTGGAGCTGAGGCTTAGTGGACTAAGAAGTCATCCTAGAAGCAAATCTCAGCTTGTTCACAGTGATTAAGCAGCAGAATAGTGAAGAGAGGCTTGGAGCTGAAGGGCATCCTTGTAGTTACATCACCCGCACCATGGTGTGTTCACAGAGATTTACAAACACATGCAACTCTTGATTCAAAGTCTAAAAGAGACAAGAGCAAGTTGTGGGAAGGATGATAGAAGCTCGCATGCTTGTGCTGTAAACCAGCCATGGTACTGAGCAAAAGGTCACACTGTGCTATGCTGACATTTACTGCTGATGGACTGACATCACCCTGCTTGCCAGATAATACTGCAGTTTGAGGCATACAGTACTTTGAAGACAAAAAGCCCATCCTACATATGAACTAATCTGGAGTGGTATGGAAGAGATAGCAGAAGCAATGAATACCGATTCCTACTGAGCAGAGGTCTTCAACTTTCACGAACCCACTGGTAACAAAACTGAGCAAGCACCACACTGGAGGCACCATAATACTCTGCTCTCCCTGTTGCCTTGAGTTTTCACTTCTTGATTTCCTGTGGCCAACGTCACTTGCTGAAGGGTCAAGTAGGCAACATAGTGTTTGTGAGCTATGGGCTGTGGATGACTGCCTGACATACTAAAACACCCTTTCCATCTTGCTTCTGCTTATACAAACACCTGGGCAACATCCTGAATTATGAACAAGGGCCACAAGCTACCAGGTCTCTTCCTTCTATTGAAATGTGGATTGAAAATTTTCCCCATCATATCTCTCCCTGCCAGAAGATCATGAAGACTTGGACCTAGCAGCAGGTAGATAGAAAGTGCTCCTACCCCATTTCTTCCAGAAGTCCTCCCCATCCAGGTTGACCCCTTTCTTTCTTCCACCCCCTCCCCTACTGTACAAGGGGAAAGGAGTTCAGGGCTCAGTGAAGATGCACATATCAGTCTGGTGCTTGTGGCCCCAGCTCCTTAGGTCCATATGATCACAGACAGCTCAGCCATCATTTCTTAAAGGAAGGCTCTAGTCTCTCTGGTGGCTATGACTAGAACACAACCCTGACTGTGAAACCAGGCTTATGCAGAAACAGGTATTTTTTTGCAGCCTAGTTCTGTTGGCTAGTAAAGTGAAAAAAAAGCATGAAATTATCCTGGGAAAATACCCACTGTAAACAGTGCTGGACAACAAGAGAAAGCTTTTGCCTTTGGTAGGGTTATTGCTGTGTCAGCAGAAACACTTATTATCTCTACCTGGTGGCTCTACTCACATCACTAGGCCAGTGTCTGAGTGAGTGACAGAGGCTCTTCTAGTAAACAAACTCCGTCCAAAACAGTGACAGCTGTAAAGAGCCTGAAACACGAGCTCCAATGTATATAAGCTGCCACATCCATCACCTTGAGGTGTTAACATCAACCTTCCTCATTCCCACATCTCACCCAACACCACCCTGAGAGGGTTACAAGGCATGTTAGAAGGCAGCAAGCCCAGACCACCACTGTAGAAACACCTTCAGGTCCTTACCCTTGGAGGTGAAGAGGAGTCCGATATACCAACCAGTCCCATTGAGAGAACTAGCTGGCCCATTCCCACTTCTACCATTCCAGAAGAGAGGGCATCCCTGCCACCAACCCTTGACTCTTTTGGATGGGGGGGAACTTGCTTTTCCCCAGAACTCCAAATAGAGGTATTTGGCTTCAGGGGTCCCCTGTCATGGTGTGACTTGGCTTTTATAGCCTTAGAACATCTAAGCTAGGTACAGAAGTTATACATAAACCGGTTTAAGTGATCAGAAACTGGTTTAAACTTGTAACAGAACAGAAGCTCAGTGCACATAAACCAGTTTCAAAATGGCTGAAACTGGTTTAAGATAAACCTGGTTGAATGTAATATTAGTCTTAATTGATTTGGGTCAAACCAGTTTATGGAACTTGTCCCAGATCCATTCCTGGTTCAAATCAAATCACAGTCCCTCAACATCCCAGCCTGCTTTGCAGCCCTAGGCTGGGATGTGCTGTCTGCTCCAGAAAGCAGGGCTGGCCCCACCCCGCTGCTCCCTAGCTCAGGGGTGGGCAATTATTTCTGGCGGAGGGCCGCTTACTGAGTTTTGGCAAGCTGTCAAGGGCTGCATGGGTAGCCCCGCCCCTTGATAGGTGCCCCGCCCCTGGTTGCCACCTCGGAACCAGAAGTCCCACCCCCTTACCCCCAACCTTTGCCACCAGAAGTCCCTTCCCTTACCCCCAGAAATACTCCTTTCAGCAAGGGGTTTTGCCATCTCAGAACCAGAAAAATACCCAATTATATTCTGAAAATCAAATATCTACAACATTCATTCGATTTCAAAAAATATTTTTGTACTGATTTACATGCATTTGTGTAGTGTACACAGAGGTGATTGCACAATAGTTTAAAATGAAGTCTTACTCTTGTATACTGGGGGGAGGCATGCGTGTGTGTGTAGGTTTTGTGGTGAGGTGGATAGGTGTGGGGTGATGGAGCTTGTGGGTGTGTGGGGAGTTAAACACCCCCTCCCTTGCTCAAATGTACTGCTGGCTGCAACTGAACTACAAATCCCAGAGGCACATGGAAGTAGGAAAAAGTGATGAGCAACTCTGCAGAGTCCTGCTGCTGTAAATCTGGACTGCCAATCCCAGAGACCTTGGGGCAGCAGGCAGAGGAAGTGAACACACAGTCAGAGCGCCGTGCTCTAGTGCCCCCTGGCCTTTAGCCTGAGCCACTGCAGGCATGTGGCTGCATTTCCTGAATTAAAGGTCTGTTCATTTCTGTTTCAATTTCATCTGTGCAGCTCAGACTAACCTGAAAAGACTGAATCGATTCAGCCTTGGGCTTTTTGACTGTCTGTACCTAGCTCTGGAGCATACAGAAAAAGAGGGCTTATAAACACAGGGCATGTCTACACGAGACACTATGTCACTGTACCAAAGAGCAACAGCGATGTAGCTCATTGCTACGGCAACACAGCATCTGTGGGCACAAACCATGATGCCAACGCTACTGCGCAATAGGGTCGGAAATGAATTGTGCGCTGCTGGGACTGCATGGTAACAGCAGTTACACAGTAACAACTGTGCGGTTGGGGACACATGTAGCCCACACAGTATCAAGTCCCACAGACAGTGTACCTAAATCCTCTCTCAAATTCTAAAGTGCTTCCCCTGCTCATGGGCATTTACATCCTGCTCTGCTCCCATACAGACACAGACAGATGGACAGACAGACCAACCGACCCAGAATTTTTTTTGGCAAATATCATTTCCCCCCTTTTTATTATACAAAATATTTTACAGTTAAAATTTTCCCAAACAAAATCATATACAGATATTTATAATTAACAAGATCAGTTACAGAGTGGGAGAAGGACTATTTGCACAAAAAGAAAAAGAAACAATTTTTCCTTGATCATCTGTCATTAAATCTTGACCTGCCAGTGCAGCCTGGTATCAGCCAGGGTGATTTCATGTCTAGCCGGCATATCCCTAGATATATGCAGCCTAGAGTTCTCCTCTCCCCACTGTGGTTTCAGAGCCTCCCCCACCATCTCAGCAAGAGCAAAGCCAAATATGACACACTAAACAGGATACCAGGATCAATACCGAGCACCTGGAAAAGGAGGGGAAGGGAGGGAGGGGAATCCACAAAATTCCTAAAGTGACTGCCCTCCATGTACACAACCTGGAGTCAAAACTCTTGTTTTCTCAGCTGGGAAAAAAAAAAATCAGGGTTATCAGTCCCCACAGCAGGCAGAATTGCAGCAAGCCAAAGCAGCACACAATGACCCAGTGCTACTAGCAGGCAGTCTGCTTGAAAGGATTATCACAATAGGGTCTCATGTGAGCAGCTGGTGCCAGTGGGGATTTATTAGAAGGTAATGCTGCAAGCTTTGTGTCATAGGGTCTCTTTTAAGAAGTGAACACAGGATAAAGATCCTAATTCCCAAGCCAGGGACAGATACACATGAGAAGATGGTGCCACATGAGCTGCTCACTGATGCTTAGGTCATAAGATGCAAGGTGGGAAAAAGTTATACTCTGCTGTAGGACATCCTACAAAAATGGCAGCCAATAATTTGCCTCAGCAGAGCAAAGGGAAGATATGAAGAGGAGATATGCATGAGCCTTAATCAATTTTTCCCTCCCAAGGAATATCACTGCTAGACTGGGCCCATCCTGCATTCACAGGGGAGCCCATCCCCGAGTCATTGCTGGAGGCCAAAGGCCTGGAGCAGGGTGGGGAGGTCCCGGGCATCGGCTGCCCCATACAGGTCACTTTGGCCCAGCATGGAGAGGGCCATGCGGAGGGTGCTCCAGATGTTGTCGGACATGGCACCCTGCTGGCCCCGTGGGCCCCGGCTCTTTTGCTGCATGTGCAAGGCCTCCAAGAAGTGCTCCACTGCCTCCCTGCCAGGCGAGAGAGAAGATACATATCTACTCCAGCTGAAGGTGTGTATGTCACATCCCCAGGCAAACAGAATTCACCACGTCTTGTCTCCAGACTGCCCAATGATCATCCATCACATTGCCCAACATCAGACCCTTCACAACAGATGTAGCCAATACCCATGCTGTAACAGTGCATCTCAACAGCCCCAGGCTAAATCCCAAGCAGAGCATAGGGAGTTACCCCTGCAGATCCTGTCTATAGAGAGAGGCTGAGATTTGAAGCTGCTGCCTGATCCTGATGCTGGCAAGCCAGGTCAGATGGCACTTGGCTCCTAGGGCAGAATATGTCAACAGAACTGCTCTGCTCTCCTTCCCCTTTTGCCAAAGCTGAGGATTATCCTGCTCCCAAAGGCACCACCTGGCAGCATTACTGTGGCTTCCCCAGTGGCCTCACTCTGCTGCCCAACCCACCAATAGGTTCCAGTGGGTGCTCGAGTTATAGTGGACCTGGCTACCTCATCCCCCAATTCCCTACCTCCTCTCATTGTCACTCACCGATGGGCCCCCAGGTTGATGCAGCTAATGCCCAGGTTGTAGCGGGAGCGGATGTAGCCTGGCTGCAGCTCCAGAGCCTGGCGATAGGCAGCCCACAGCTCCTTCACCCCCTTTCCCATCAGCCTCTTCACTCCTATTCCCATTGGCCAGGGTGGCACCCAGCTTGTTCCACAAAAGGTGATCCTGGAAGAGGCAGCAGGAAGCAAGCAATGAGGTCATCAGTTCCTCTCTCCCTTTGCCCAGTGAGCCTGTCCTTTCCCAATCCCACCACCCCCTTCCCTTTCACCCCAAACCACTCTCTCTCCCTTGACTTGCCCATCACTCCCATCTCACCCACCACTTCAGGTTAGTCTGTTCTTCACACCACAAGCCTTCCTACTCAGGGCCCCAGCCTCCACCACCTTCCCCTAGCATGCACCAATCATGCCACCCACAACAGCCTCAGCTCTACTTTGCTCCCTTACATTGGGGCGTGCACTTAATGCCGCACTGAAGCAGTCCACAGCCTTCTCATACTCGCCACTCAGGTTGAAGAGGACACCCAGGCCACATTGCACATCAGGGTCCACGGCTGATGGGTTAAGGTGTACAGCTGCCAGGAACAGCTCTTTCACCTCCATGAAAAGTGAACTGAGGTCAGAGAACAAAGGAGGTCACATGCTGAAGAGTGTACGCTGCTCCCTCCATATCCTCTTTCCCAAGGGTGACCTCTTTATGAGCCCAGCTATAAGGCCTATTAAAATACTGGGACCAGCACAGGAATATCCCTTTCCTCCCCCAGACTCACTCAGTCAGCAGTGAGCCCAGGACACGTCTGGAGTGCCCCAAACCTGTCCCCAAGCTGCTCCCATCAGAGTCCTTTCCCACCAGGTGAGCATAGGTAGGGCTATGGTGCAACCAATCACGCAAGGTCTCGCACGCCTGCTTTTGCAGAGACTCGTTCGTAAAGCTGACAGCCAAGGCCATGAGTGCTGTGAGGTTCCCAGGCTGCAGCTCCAGGCACCTGCAGGACACAGAAAGAAGTAGAGGAAGAAAGAGCACAGTATTAATGTATGTGAAAATACGGATGAAACACCTTGCTGACCTTTTAACAGCTCTTCTCCAAAACCCTTTGGAGCTTAAAAAGCTGAACAGTGGGTGCATCTATACATGTTATTATGCTATTAATGAAAATTAATAGTACTTTTAGTGCTACTAGTAAAATACTGCACAGTAAGCCTTCCCCAGGAGCACATCTACACATGCTCCCTGTTGGGAGCAGATTTGCTCCCATCTTGCTCAGCCCCCCATTCAGCAGCCAGGGGGAGCTCCAGACCCCCTGCCCCCAGGTGCTAGCCCAGGGGATGGCAAGGGGCATGGGGCCAGTCCCAATGCTCACGAGGCCAGAAAAGCTCTGCTGGCTGCAGCAACAGCTGTCTCCTGGACCTGTGCACATTGGGAAGGGACCTGATGGCACTAAGCCAGGAGACAGCTGCAGCTGCAGCAGACGGAGCTCTCCTGGTCCTGTGCCCATTGGGACACACAGTTACCAGAAAGCCCCCAGCTAGATGGAGCTTCACTTTCCAGCAGGGGGTTCACTGGGAGATGTCCTGGATATGGGGCAGCTGCCAGTGAGCCTCCTGCCAGGCGGGAGGGCATGGGGCTTGCTGACAACTGCCTTGCTTGGTGTGGAGCTGGTTGCTCTGGGGAGCAGGCGGGGGCTGGGTTCCCAGCCCCAACTCGCTCTCCAGAGCTCCCAGCCAGGAGCTGAGCAGTGCCAGGACCAGAGACAGAGAGCTATCTGTCCAATGGGGCCCCCTGCTGCCTAGGCTAACCGGGAGCAAATTTGCTTCCAGTCAGCATCTACAAATGCAGTTCTGCACAGTAACTACTGTAGTAGCCTAATTTACTATAAGTAAATGCCCCGTATGTGTAGACGGTGACACTTTATTGTGCAGTAGATTAGTCTACTGCACAGTAAAGTGTTTCATGTAGACACGCCCAGAAAGTCTCAGCTTCCAGCTGGGTGAGAAAGCAGCATTTTACAGTAGCCAATAGATCACTGGGATTTTATCCTTCCAAGTCTCTACTGGGTACATGGTAAAGCACCAAAACTTTGTTTTGAGTACAGCAATCATAAGATGCGTTACAGGTGTCCAGCTAACCAGCCATCTTCACAAGTTACTCACCGTCTGAGGGCGCTGATGGCTAAGAGCTCCTGTTCATTCTCTGCTTGGGTTGTTCCCAGGTACTGCCAAGCCTGACAAAGACACAGACATGTGACTTCCTCAGATCAAGATGTTGGGAAGTCCTAATATCCTGAACTCCTTGGGACTGGGTGTATCCCTACATTCTTCCGCACAGATAAACTGATCTCAGAAGTGATTCAGTCTGATCATAATGATTAGCATGTCAGGGAGAGTGGAGCTGTGAGTAACCACTAGGCAATAAACCTTTCTTTCTCTAACCATCTTTGGGCTAGATGTTCTGCCAGTCTGATGCAAATAGCTCAGGCTTCCCACCTTCACAGCAATTATCCTCAGGTTCACATTTATTTAGCTCATACACACCAGAAAACTGAACTACCAACACCATTCAACAGCACCCAGCTTTGACACCAAAATGGGTCTCATCCACATACTAATTCAATCTGATATTGCTTCCCCTGGGAAGTGAAACAGGCTCCAAGAGGTAGGATACCTGGGGCAGGCCTGTTCTCTCTGCTCCACTCACCTCCATGTGGTCAGGTTTCTGTTGTGCTGCAGCCTCAAAGAGCAGGACAGCATTGGGGAGGTCACCCTCCTCCAGGCGCTTCAACCCCTCTTCAAATGCCTGTGGATGATCCCTCATGGGATTGTCTTCCTCAAACTGGTAGCCCTGCCAAGGAGAACAAATATGGAGTTAGCACTGCATGGAGGAAACAGGTGCATCAGGGATTATGTTCAGCTAGTACATGCCATACAGCATGTCTATAGATCAGCACTTCTGTAAGTCCCTCATTCTCCTGTCCCACCCATCAGTATCAAATGGTCTTAGACACTGTACTGGCCCCCTCCCCCTGTATGTGCAGCAGCTAGTGCTGCAGTGAAAGCAAAAAGCCAGCTCAGAGCAGAAGTGGGTGCAGCAATTTATTGTCCAGCTCCTTCCCTCCCCAACCAGACTCAGTTTGGAGACCTTTCAGCTCTGAAAGCCCTCAGGATTGGGAGAGGAGTGTCAGTTGCAGGGTGTGTGTGGTGAGAGTGAGCACAAACCATCGTACTTCAGGGACCTGCACCAATTGGGAAGTGCAGAAAGGGAAGGTATGTGCCGCAAGAAGCACTAGCATTAACTAGTATTGGACAAGAACTGGCTTGTATTTCCAGAAATAGGAGAAGCACCAATGGCAGGCAGGGTTTCAGCAAGTACAGATGGCTGGCTTTTTTTTTTTTTAATCTGACCTTTGGTCAAGGCTACTGACAGACAGAGGCTAGCAACAGCAGGCTTCCCCACAACATTTGTACCTGAAGAAGAGACGGGCAATGAAACACATGGCCTACTCCATGAAGTCCAGTGAAGGGAGCCCAACAACGTCACAATGCTGGGGCCCATAGCCTCTGTCGCTCATTACCTTGTCATAGGAGGAGGCGGCAAGGTCCTCATAGTCTGAGAGCCAGGGATGAGCTTCTGCATCTCGCTTGGCCATCTCCTCCCACTCTGCCTGGAGCTTGTCCCAGAAATCAACGTCCGACTGTAGAAAAAAGGAGGAGGATGCAAATGTTAAAGAGCACCATTCTGCTAAGCAACCTTCACATATCCCCCACATCCCTTCTCTCAAGATCTCAGTCCCTCATCTCTCCCTGACATGCATATAATGGCTCAAAACTGAACAAGCCCCTTAATGCTTTCTTAGTGCCCTGACCACTCCCCTCCAGCTTTACCTCAACAGCACTCTTGGCCTGCTCAAATTCTGTATCAAGAGCCGACACGCTCCCAGACCCCGTGAACTGATCCACCCAGGCATCAGAAGCCCCCTAGAGGAGAGGGAATAAAACATAACTTTGAAATTGCAAAAATGAAAAGCAATGCATCTCTGCCAGCAGCAAAAGGTGTTCAAAGACCTCTCCTGTCTCACCGCCAGAAAGTACTAAGTGTGCATGGTCAGTGCAAGGGACCAGACTTCCCAAATTATCCCACCTACCCAGACACTACCATGAGGAAGGTCACACTGCTCAGATCATTCCCTGCTCCTAGCTAGGTACTGCTCTGGAGAACCTCATGCTCATGAAGACCCACCCCCAAGGCTGAGCATTAGTAGGGCACTGCTGATGAAGTCAACCTTGCTATTGTCCCTAGCTTTTCAACTGGGCATGGCTGCAAAGAAGTTTGCACCCCTGTGAGCATCTGGGTCTGGAGTCCTACCTGCTGCTGTATAAACTCAGCTGCCCACTGCTCTGCCTGATCCTGGTCTCTGGGGGTCAGAGTCACCTGATTAGCTTGGATCGACACCCTCCCGTCTCCGATCTGGCGGACAAACTTTAGGAACTGTGGCAAAAAATGAAATAAGGGTGGGCACTTGGGAGAAGCCTTAACCAACAATTCCCCCATCCACACATACCCCTCTTCACTAGGCAAATATGTGTTCCCCAAATCCAACAGAACCTACAAGGAGGGGAAAGAGGCCTATTTCAAGAAGGTTGTGGGGGAGGGGGCAGTCCTGCAAGCTCATCAGACCTCTCTCTCCAGAACTCAAAGAAAAGAGGAAGGGAGATACCAGATGGTAGAGGCTTCTCATCCCCCCCTCCCCAGCTGTCCCCACCCATACAGACATCTTTGTGGAGCTGCAGGACACTTCTTACCTCAGAATTGTTGAGTTTGGGGTCATCCACTTTAGAAAGGAAATCGATGGCAGTTTTCTTAAGATCATCTTCGGGCTGATACTCTTCATACCTGTGTCCACAGAGAGGAAGAGTCTTATGTGAGACTTAGCAGTGGCAGGCTCAAAGTTTATTCACACAATCAGACATTTTAAGGGACTTCAATGCTGCTGTAATGGTGGAGAATTTCAGATTTGCTTTTGGCCCCAAACTATTCACTATATCTATCAATGTGGAAGGAAAAAATATTGCTAGTTAATTACACAGATGACACCAAAAGTGGTATCGTTATTTCTCTCTAAGGACAAGTTAGTCATATCAACATGGATCACTTGGTGGGTGGGCCACATTCAAACACCGTGTTTCACAAGTGCCAAAAGCAAGTTCACACATCTAGGAATAAAGAACATTAGTCACAGATACCAAGTTAGGGGCAATACAGTGTGGTGAAAAACAGAAACCCTGAAAAGGGTGTAGGGTGATAGCTGACACACAACTCAAGGTGAGCTCCCAGGAATGGTGTTTAACTAACAGCTCTAATGTGATCATTCAATGTGTAAACAGCAGACTATCAAGTAGAAGTAGGGAAGTGATGTTACCTCTACAAATGGCATTAGTGGAATCACTACAGTATTAGTATATCTGGTTCTAGCATCCATACTTCATTAAAGTTTCTGAGAAAACACATTTCAGGCAACAGCCACAAGAATAACTTGAGATCTGGAAAACCTGCCTTGCATAGATTAATATAGCTCAATCATCTCTTTTAGAGAAAAGTGAAGAGGTGACTTGATCACGACCAATAAGTACCTACACACAGGAAGAAGATTTCTATAGAAGAGAGCTCTTTAATCAAGCAAAAGGTACAACAAACTCCACTAGCTGAAGCTAAAAGGACTTGAAATTTCAAAACAAAGTCAGACTTGAAACTAGATGGGATTTATCCCCCCCCCACCCAACAAGTGAAATAACTGCTGGAACAAAACTGGATAACTTTAAGTGATATCTGCCAGCTCAGCCAGGAGTTATTAGGCTTGATGTTAGAACCGCTGAGTACCTTGTGTAGAAGGACAGACTGGATAATCACAACAATCCCCTCCCTTGGGCTTTAATATCTAAGGAAGCTGGAACTCCATTTGAATTCTAAGGTAATTGAAGCTGCCAGTCTTGGGCAGGAAGACACTCTGTGTCTCATCTTTCTTTAACCAAACAGTTGAGCTATTTATTCTGGGTTAAGTAGTTAAGACTCAGAAGTACAGAGATTATGGTGGATTTTTGTCTCCTATCCACACATCACCCATCCTAGACAATAAAAGTGGATATGCTAGGGAAGAACAGAAACTCACCACTTATCTGCTAGTGACTGGTCTTCTGATTCCCCCAGCCACAACTTCTCCTCTGACTGCTCCAGATATTCTTCTGCCCACTTGGCAGGAGACTCAGACAGAGGGTCTACACAACAGATTGAAGGGTGAGGGAAGAGTGGGGAAAATAAGGTAAGACACAAACCACTATTCATAAAAATTTCACAGAAATTGGATTTTTTTTCAATTTGCATGCAGTAAGCAATATGGTCCAGGGAGTTTCATTAAGTGGTGGTATTTTCTAATTAATTCCATTTGTTTGTTTATTTTGAAATAAAATATATAATTGATTGACCAGCTACCAGATGGACACCAACCCCTTTATTATTTTTAAACCTGTTTTTGTATTTGCAAGAGTCTTGTCCCACAAGGGGTACAGCAGCAGAGTGGGCTGCTATGTAGGTCAGGGAAATTAGAAATGTATTGCAAATCTCTCACTCTTTAACAGAATCTGTCCAAAAAGCTTCAGAATTGTTAACTATGTAGGATACTTATGTCCCAATGGAATATTTAGGAATAAAGTCACCTAACACTGAGAAGCAGCCAACTCTGGGGCAGGGCATAACAGTTCTTGAGCCATCTCTCAACAGTCCATGATGGAGGGGATCTGGGTGATGAGAGGGAGGCTAAAGGACACATTCTATTCCCAGTCATTCTACATGCAGTCATTCTACCTTCACGTCAGTTCCATGGCTGAGGCGGTGGACAGACAGAAACTTTCTAGCCGGGAACAAGAAGTTCCCTCATTCCAGGCACAGAAACAATACATTTCTTTTGAAGTGGGAAAAGCAGATCCTCTTGCTAACCACTCCCCCGATCACAGAAACAGATGAACAGATTTGGCTGAGACATTCAAATCAATATTTGTCTTAGGGCAGGACCAAGTTGCATCAACTAAATAGGCTGCATTGAAGAGCTATGTGTACTCAAAGAGAGGTAGGGCTAGGCACTTCCTATGCCGGAAAGTTGTACTGGATTAGTTTAAATCATTTTAAAACCAATTGATTTAAACTGATATAAACTCAAACACACTTCTGGCATGTGAGCAGTTTACTTCACTTTAAGCTTAAGCCTGTTCCTAGAATCATAGAAAGTGAGGGTTGGAAGAGACCTCCAGAGGTCATCCAGTCCAACCCTGTGCTCAAAGCAGGACCATCCTAGACTATCCTCGAACCAGCCAAGGCTTTGTCTGACAAATCACCAAGGACGGCAATTCCACAGCCTTTCTGGGTAACAGGATCCAATGCTTTACTACCCTTCGTATGAGAAAAGCCTCAAAGCCTAGGATTAGACTGGATCTCAAGAACCATCTAGTCCAGCCTGTGGAGATGCAGAATTCACTGTTCCAAAGCCATTCTAGACAAACACCTATCCAGCCACTTCTTGTAAATCTTCTGTGAAAGATCACACGCCCTTTCTAGACAAGCTTGTTCCATTGCTCCGACCACAGTTATAAAACTTATCGGTTTTCTCAAGACTTGATCTGCATCTGCTTTGCTGTAGTTTAAGCCCACTGTCAAATGCTCTGCCCTCTGTGGCAAGGGAGAACAGTGTTCAAACTAAGCATACCAACTTCCTTCAACTTTTCCTTGCACAGATTGCTTTTTTCATCTTTACTGCTCACCTCTGGACCCTCTCCAGATTTTTATTTTTATTTTTTTACATCCTTCCCATAATATGTTACTTTGAAGCTGGGCATACTACCCCAGCTCAGGCCTATCTAGCAACAAACAGAGGGGTCCTGCATACACTGCTTTTGTGAATTCCACCCCAAAACTGTATTTGCTTATTTTTTTCTTTTTTAACAACACTGCGTTGCTGATTCAGGCTGAGCTTGTGATCCACTAGTAATCCCTTCAGCCCTCTCAGCAGTGCTCCTGCCAACATGGTTATCCCCCAATAGCTGGTTCAACTGGGGAATTGGGAGGTCATCTTTAGCATGAGCCCAGAACAAAGGTCAAACTCACACCTCTGAGTCCACAGCAAGATACCAACTGCTCTGCCACTCTGACCCCAAGAATTAAGTATTCATTTGTCAAGGATTTGAACTTGGATTTCCAATATTCTGCAACTCCCCTGACAACTGGATTGCAGTCAGTCTGTCAACTGACCAGCTTCTGTTGAAGTAAACCAAAATAAAACACTTGCACCAGAATAAGAGAGTGGCCAAAAAGGAATTTAACCCAAATTAGCAAAACAAGTGCAATTTCCTGCTTTAGGTTACACCAGTACAACTTTCCCATACAGATGAGGTGCTGATGCAGAAGCAGCCTGCTCCAAATACTGATCATGTCTTATGGGTGGGCTCATCTCACATTCAAAGGACATCATCATTGTGGGATCAGGGCAGAGGCACGCTATTGACCAACACCTCAACTCAGCTTCTCAAAAATGTGCCCTCACCTGTCACCTCTGCAATCAACTCCTGTGACCAGTCAGCCTCATTGTAATCTGGGGACCCATCAGCCGTAGCATCTGAGGTAGCCAGGAATTCCTGGGCCCAGTTCTCAGACAGAGCCAGGGCTGCCACACCTGGAGCTAGGGTAGAGAGAGAGGAAGAAGGGAAAGTTAAGTGATAAGACCCGTGTGTCCTATCCCCTGCTGGTGATTGGAGAAGACCTGGCTTCCTAATCCTCAGGCACCTTCTGCCCACATCCTCTTTCTGCTCCTATCAGGATATACCACTAGAGACCCAGAAAAGGCCCTGATATGCTTGACCCTTTCTTAGTCTCCCTCACCTCGCTGGGGGGCTTGGCGAAAACTTGACTGCTCAATCTCTTGCATCTCAGCCAGCAGATCATCCATCTTAAAGGTCTGGGGGACACGGGAGAGCAAGGGAGCACTTTGCTCCTGGAGGAATTCTGTAACCAGCTGCAAAAAAGAAAAAGAGAGTGCATGCATATGGGGATGGGAGGACAAACAGCAAAGGCTCTTGGATGAAGGAAGAAGGAAGGGAGAATGTGGGTGGGAGGTGGGGGACAAGAAGGACAGAACGAAAGGGAACAGAGAGAACATGGCTGCAAGAAAGGTCCTGGGTAGTGACACATGGCTACACTTACCTCATCTTCAGATGCCACTCCCAGAGGCTTGGACACCTACAGAAATGAGGGGGCAAGCAATTACTGCAAAGCATCGCCCTCTGCTGCCATCCCTCCTCCTCCCACCACCACCACCAGACTAACCAGTGCCTACCCCACCTGCAACCCAACCCAGCACGCGCGTCCCTTCCGTGTGATGAACAAAGCCACTCCCAGCACAGCCCACCTCCCTTGGACACCCCTTGCGGAGAGATGTCCTAGCCGGCATGATGGCAACCTCCTGCTTTCCAGGAACCCCCAAGGTGTTGGGAACAGATGCCCCTGCACCACCAGCCCAACACATCCCACAGCAGGGTGAGGGCCCAGGGCCACCCACCTGCACCCTGCAGCCCTACACCTGGGGTGGGAGCAGCCACCCTGTCGCAGCGCCTCCATCCTGTACCCGCGCTCCCTGCCAGGTGACGGCCCCCGCCTTGCCCCACTGCCCTGGCACTCACGGCGTCAGCGGGGCGCGCGGGGGGCCAAGCAGCGGGGCCTGGCAGCCCCTCCTGCCGCAGGGCCTTGTCCTGGGTGAAGTGCTCGGCCAGCTGCATGAGCGGGTTGGAGCCCCCGCACTCCGGCTCCACCAGCTCCCGCATCGC